CACTGCTCTGAATTCCTTATGAATGGATTTAGTTCTGAGGAATTACCAGTGAAAACTTCCATCTGTGATGGAGACCAACGAAAATAATTAATAAAACACAACGAGCCAGCCTTTGAGACTCATGTAATTACAGTTTCTAATTCAAGAGGCAGTTAAGAAATAGATAACCATTTATTTTAAAATACCCAACAACTATATAATGGCTGTATTTAAATGATTTGGACTGTAAATAGAACATTGCATCCATGCAGAACAGCACCAAGCACCTGTGAATATAGAATTCTTAAAAAATAAATCAAATACAATTTCCAGAAATCATCAATAACAGTTATAAAACTTGAGCTTTTTAAAATGGAAACTGAAAAGAGCAGTACTTGAGGTTCTCTTCTTTTCTGGTCTTAATTCCTTGCTCAATTGATATTTAGCCATAAAGGAGTAGAAACTGGCAAATTGTGTTTCAATATTGCTTTCCCCATCCCCATGTGTTGAGCTCCTTGTTTACATTCACACTAAATTTTGGTGCCTTCCAGCACGTTGGTGGCAGGCACCTTTCTGGAACACTAGGCAATAATTTAGTCAGTGCATTCAGATCTCTGACTTTCAACTGATAACTTAGTTGAAAAGTCTATTGTCCTCTTGCTGCATAGGTATTTTGAAATGTCTATATAATGAAGCTGTTTCATATCCAGGCTTAGAAGGACACTACTATGTAAAACCTTCATAGAACTTTTCAGAGCTAACTGTGCCCCCAAATGCATGGATATGCATGGAATCAAGTACAGCTGGGAATGTACTTGAATCATTCCAGGGATTCAGGGGAATCCCAGGGAATGCATGGAATCAAGTACAGCTGTTCCTACTGTAGGATAATAAAGTAATTATCTCTTCTCCCCCAATTTGCAGGAAGGGTGTAAGGAAAACCCATTCTATCTGTGCCTGGGAGAATTGTGCCTGTCTTCAATCTTTTAGAAAAAATTTCAACTCATAATTTGCTAGAGTGAAATATTTACTGACATCATCTAAACATCGACAGTGAGACCAAATGTTGATACGTTGCTTTATACTTTAGTGCTTTCCATAGTTCACTGTTACCTGTAGTTGTGGTGGATGAGAATTTTCCTCTCTCATCTTTCCTAGCAAAGAGGCAAATTAAGAAGCATCTGCAGATTATATTAGAGGACTGAAAAATTTGGTGAGATAACCTGACTCTTCTGTACTAGGACTGGAACAAAGCTGCCAAGGATTATATTTAATTTGGAGCCTTTTCAAGGTTGGTCCCATAAGTGAGAAGGGGGCTACCAGGTGATTTCTGAACCCCTGAGAATCCAGGAGATGGAAAAGTAGAGGCAAGAAGGCACTTACCTTGTTCTCAAATGAGAAATAATCAAACCTTCACATGTTATTTTGGATGTGAAGCACCATTATTAATTTTAATGGCAAAATGAAACTAGTTTAAATGTAATGTTTAAAATACTATTAAATTTCCTATAGCCTGATTGCACATAATATCTATAATTGTAACATATGTTTCTGAGAGCTTTAACTGCTTCTCTTTTTCATGCAATCATTTTAAAGATTGTGGCTACATTTAATTTAGGTTTACTGATAATTGAATCTAAATTCAAGAGGCAACAGCAGCATTAATTCCAAAGGAGTATTTTTATATATGGAGGTGGAGATATGCGAGGGTATTTCAATATAATGCCCCTGTCATCAAAATGTTTCCTTATTAATTTGTGTGTCACATTGAACAGCAACATCTCTCAAAGTTTGTGAACTGGAGGACAAAAAAAGTGTTCAAATCTATTTTTCTTAAGTAAATTTGGTGATATAATAATCTATAGTTGGTAGATTTTTTTTGTTGAGGATTGGAGCTCTCTTAATAGTTTATTTTATTTTAAAGGAACGTGTACTTTGAATAACAATTTTCTGGGCATTTAACTAACCTAGGTGAGAAAACCATGGTGCTGTTTAATTGTAAATAGATTGATATAAGATTGGACCAATACTTGATGTGTACAATTTTAGTATGTAGGGTTTTTGTGCTTTTTTTAAAAAAAAAGTTCAATTTTTCTCTTTGTCTTTGCCTTTATTCTGGGTTTTTAATTATTATTACTCTCCACAATAAGGGTAATCTGCTTCATTCTGATTAAAAAAAAAAAAAAAAACCTCTAAAAAGGTTTTTCCCCTTTTTAAAACCTCCCAGCTCAGTAACTAACAAGTTCATTACTACCAAACTTAGGCTCTACTATGTCAAACCATACATGGTCATTTATAGATATACTTTATTTGCTGCATTGAAATCTTGGTCTCAAATAGTTTGTTTTTTTTTTCTTTTAAGAATCATGCTGTAAACCAAAACCCATAATTCAGTTTTTCAGAAGCACTGAGCTCATTTCTTTATCCATTTTGGATCAAAGTGGTAGGCTTTGATTGTTAATTTTTATTTAAAATAAGTGATACATACACATGGGAAAAAAAATCCAAACATACCGAAGTGAAGAGTCTCTCTGAAGATGCCTGTTCTTCATATCCCATTTCTTCTCCCCAGAGGTAACAGCTGTTCCCAGTTTTCTGGATATCTTTAAAGATGCTCTACCACAGTGGTTCTCAAACTTCAGCATGCATCAGAATTACCTGGAAGGCTTATTAAAACACAGATTGCTGTGCTCTTCCCCCAGAGGTTCAGAGTTAGTAGGTCTGAGTGGGGTCTAATGATTTGCATTTCTAAAAGTTCTCAGGTGATGCTGCTGCTACTAGTCCGGGGATCCCAATGTGAGAACCACTATTTTAGTGTACGTGAGTATATTTACCCGCCCTACCCTGTTTTTTCCATAAATAACATATGCTATTCTATACATTTGATTTTTCTCTAAAATGGTTAGTCTTAGAGATTGTTCCATATATGTTGAGCTAGATCTGCTTCATTCCTCTTACAGGTGCAGTAGTATTCCATTGTCTGGAGTACCACAGGTCAGTCTGGCTGTTTCTAGTCTTTTGGTACTATAAACCATGCTACTGTGAAATGTCCTTTTCTATAGCTACATCTTTACATCTATGTACATTGCTATATCAAACAGTATATACATTTAGGGAGTAGATGCTGAGTTGCCCTCCAAATAGATTTTAACCAATTTAATACTATAGCAATATGACTGCTCTTATTTTCCTATATTCTGACCAACTTTTTTTTTTCCCATAAATTTGTTTATTTATTTATTTTTGGCTGCATTGGGTCTTCGTGGCTGCGCACCGGCTTTCTCTAGTTGTGGTGAGCAGGGGCTACTCTTAGTGGCGGTGTGCAGGCTTCTCATTGCGGTGGCTTCTCTTGTTGTGGAGCACCAGCTCTAGGCCTGTAGGCCCAGCTGTTGTGGCACTCAGGCTCAGTAGTTGTGGCTCGTGGGCTCCAGAGCGCAGGCTCAGTAGTTCTGGCACGTGGGCTTAGTTGCTCTGCGGCATGTGGGATCCTCCTCGACCAGGGCTCGAACCCGTGCCCCCTGCGGACTCTTAACCACTGCGTCACCAGGGAAGTCCCTGACCAACTTACTGATCTTTGACAGTCTAGGTGGAAACCTGTGTCATGTGGTTTTACTTTGTGTTATGGGATCTTAGTTCCCCGACCAGGGATTGAACCCATGGCCTCAGCAGCAAAAGCATGGAGTCCTAACTGCTGGACTGCCAGGGGATTCCCGCTAGCTCCATTTAGTTTTTGTAGTACCGTTGTGGGGAAGACAAAAGTTTTGGCTGCTAAGCATTACTCATAAGTGTGTTATCGAAATCTCATGACTATTAGAGTAAATATAGAGAATGTTCATAGTAATTAACATGATTTCAGTTATTACGTGTGACTTATGAATGACAGTCTTAGGCAGTATTCTTGTCTGTTGCACATTGACAAAGTGATTTTTGATTATTAAGTACTCTGGAACTCACTGAATGCCCTACGGTCAGTTATATTGCATATATTATTTCCTTAAGAAATTCTTGGTTTATAGTAAATGAGCTGTATTTCTTTAATCACCAAACATGTCCCTCAGAAATCTATGGTAGAAGGAGATGTGGTAATTAGCATTAGGTAGACGGGGTTTCTGAGCCAGTGAAATGCCAGCTTAAAACTTAAACAGAATCTGCTAAGACTGAAGTGAGTTACTCAGATCACTTGTTCTCAGTACAAGCGTCTGATTGACCTTGAATTTGAACTTTGGTCCTGCCACTAGTGAGTCATTAAGAACCTTGGGTAAGGTTCTTAATTTTTTTTTTTTTTTTTTTTTTGCGGTACACGGGCCTCTCACTGTTGTGGCCTCTCCCGTTGCAGAGCACAGGCTCTGGACGCGCAGGGCCAGCGGCCATGGCTCACGGGCCCAGCCGCTCAGCAGCATGTGGGATCTTCCCGAACCGGGGCACAAACCCGTGTCCCCTGCATCGGCAGGCAGACTCTCAACCACTGCGCCACCAGGGAAGCCCGAGGTTCTTAATCTTGACACCTCAATTTCCTCATCTGTAAATTGAGGATAACACTTAATTCGCAGGGTTAGGGGATAAATTCATGCGTCTAAAGCCCCTGCGTGACCCATTGCAAGCACTTACTCAGTGGTCGTTATCATCATTAACATCACAGTAGTCAAGGAGGATTCACAAATCCCATGCTAAAGACACTTAAAAATTATTCAAAGCATTAATTATACAAAAAAATAGAATTATACAAGGGCATGTAATAATTATTTTACCCTAGTAGATTTGGTATAGTTGCTTAAGCACTTAACTCATCAAAGAGTAACTTAAATTCTAGGAAGAACACAGTCCCCATATCCTTAAAAGTCAGTTTCCCTTACGGTTGGAGGCACTTCGCCATTTGCCAATTTGAAGTTTGTTTTAGCCTAAGGAGTGGGAGAATTAGAATTCTGAAAGTATTGGACCACTAGTGACAAATGTTAGGAAAGCACCACCTTCCGACTGCTTGGCTCCAGTAAGAGTTGGTAATTATTTGGATACACAGGGCCCTAATGGACAGAGTTGATCTGAAAAGCAGCAGCAGAGTTGGGACATGTCAACAAAGAGAAAGTTTTTACTTCACTTACGTAACTGTGAGTCATTTGTGAGGTCTAAAGGTTATGGAAGTTAAGAATATGCTGATTGAGGAGTGCTTATCTGAACCCCGCATGTGTAAAAATCAATTTAAAGATATCTACTTTGATGTTCTAAATTTATTTTTAGAGATGTTAACAATTGTAATTATTTACACTTTCAAAATGATTTATTCCAAGAAGACTCTCTCTTTGACTCACATTAACTTGTGACACTTTCTTTTCGGGCAGAGCTTTCTCCTCTTCCACTGCTTTCTGACTCTCCTGGTATTTGTTCATGGAGAAGAGAGTAAACAGCTTAAATTCCTTGTAATTAAGACGCTTGTGTTGGGGGGCAAAAAGAAAAGTTATTTCAGGAAGGCTTTGATACTTTGTTTCAGATGACAGCAGGATTGTAATCATTTCTCATTTAAAGCCTTGGAAACTTTATTAAAGAGGCCCAGTAATTAGGACATAATTATAGTCTAATTGTAGTCTAGGAGCCAGGAACAGAGAGTCTATTGTAGACTCTAAAGGCACCAAGGGTCACTTTCTTACTTCTGCTACATCAAGTCCAGACTCTGTCAGGCTGCCATCTGATCCATCTTTTTAAACCGTAAACCTTAGCTCTCACTTGTTAGTCAACATGGACTTCCTCTTTAAATAGGCAGGATCCACTGTCTTCTCCACAGTTGTTTTCTCTTGGGATTTAGCTCATGTGTTCCCATCTAAGAATTTCTTCCTTTCTCCTTATTAAAATCTATAAACCCTTCCCCTAAGACCAACTTCTGCCATATTGATGTATTTCCTTCTTTCAACTGAACTTCTAAACAAAATTTCCTTCTCCAAACTTCTATAATTTTATATCCACATTCTGTGACATAGCACTTAGTTATTCAGTCATCTCTCACAGGCCTATATATCTCTTTAGTTTTTTATGATCCCAGAGCCATGACACGCTCCAGTAGGTTTTTCCCACCCTCTTCCTCCCCCGTCTCCAGTGTAGGTAGCAGGACATGGTCCTCTACCTTTGTACAGAGGGGTTGCCGGGCCCCACTTTAGGGATCTGCACTTACACAGTCACCTGTGATGTCAAAGTCATGGTACAGGTCTCTGAGTTGCTGTTTTTTAATTTTGAAGAGAAAGTTGTACATGTGGAAGTTGGATGGGCCAATTTTCAGCTCCCCATCCAGGTCAAGCAGCTCAAAAACAGGCCGGGAATGGCGGAAGATAAATTGCTCTTCCAAATGGTTCTGCTTTGAGAGAAATACGGAAACATGTTGTTGGTGCTGCTTTCTAAACTTGCAACATCAAGACTCATATATTCACTAGTCCATTTCCTAGAGAGCTAAAAGCAAAAGGCAGAATCATAGCAGCTCAGGGCTGAAAGGGTTCTATGGTCGATGTACCAGATCCTGCTTCATCATCTGCATTCGGGGGGGACTTATGCCACCTGTAGTGATTGGTTCTGCTAGACAGAACTCTAGTCACTAGAATGTATTTCCTTATGTTCAGTGAAAAACTACTTATGAAAATTGTGGCACTGGCAGTAAAATGCTGACACAAGGTGCCTTTCCTCAAGGAGTGGGAAAGAGGTAAATACACACTAGGAGTGTGTACCAGGTAAGGTGGGAACCCAAAGAAGAGTGTGTCTTGTCTTTATCATTCATCCCCTTCAGAAAGTTCTCTGAGAAAAGGGATCACTGAGGAAGAGAGGCAGTTAGGATTACTGGTGATGATTTTAAGACCCACCAGCTAGAAGGGGCAAGGAAGGGCATGCCAAGGAGGGATGTGACAGGATGAGATTCGTTCTTTATAAAGGCAATGTGGGAGGGAAGCTGGATAACCTTTGGAAACTCCTAGGTTATAGATGGGCCATTTAGGAACCAAAAGTAGTTCTCCCACCATTTTTTTCTTCCTGGTTCAAGTGAGAAGAAAAATTCTGATGCACTCTTAATTCGGTGCTACCTTTAGCAAAATGGTGGCAGCAGCCAAGCTGTGCCCCCTCTGCTCCACAGAGCCTGACTCGTTACTTGCCTCCTGTGCCAGCAGTATGCAAACCAGCATGTAGAACTGGTCAAAACCGATCTCGCCCACAGCATTCCAGTCCAGCATGTTAAACACAATTGTGATCTGGTTCCGTTTCAGGTCAGTCACGTGATGAAGGAAGTGGTAGAAGAGCACATCTGTTGGTAAGGAGATGAGATGGATTATTCTGAAACGGTTCCAAAATGTTAAACATCTGGGAACCACATAAATGGTTGTCATGTTGGAAGCTTGTTGACCTGGCCATAGTAATGATAATATTTTGTTTCCGGCTTTGCCACTATACCTCCCACAATTTCTCAAACCTCAGTTGCCCTTGAGCTGTGTGGAAAAGCACTGTACCTGGACTTGTGGAGAAGGAGATAGTGGATAGGGCTTGGTTCCTGAGCCCAGCTTACACGCTCGACGGAGCAGACAGATGTGTATACGTAACCAATAAAAGTCTCAAAGTGCTCCTGGTACATAGAAGGAAGAGTTTAATTCTCACTGGGGGCCTATGACACTTCTTGGAAAAGCTGACATTTCACCTGGGCCTTTCACTTGAGAGAATTAAAACGAGAAATTTTTAAAATCATTCCTCTTCTGTAAAAGTATCACTTTTCCTCATGCTTACATAAAGCAAATGCATTCGGTGATGGGGGAAAAGAACTATCACTGAGCATCTTAGATGCTGGGCACTTTAAGTGCCACATGTCACTGAACCCTGACAACCCTACACAGCCTTTTACAATAAGCCTCAGGTAGTAACTAATCTCAGGGCTTCTTGAGCTATAATAGGCATACCAATCACTTGAGGATCTTGTAAAAACACCAATTCTGATTAGGAACTCTGGCATGGGACTGAGTCTGCATTCTTAACAAGCTCCCAAGTGATGCGGCAGCTGCTGGTCAGTGGACCACACTTTGAGTGGCAGAGCTGGGATTCAGATGTGGTCCGTCTGACTCCACAGCCTTGCTCTTTCCACAGTGAAGCCATATCTTTTGCACATTAGTTAATGCATATACAGTCATATACAATCAGAGAAAAAAATACTGTAAAGGACAGGGAAAGTATTTGCCTGAAATTCCACTCACTAATCATCTGTCTCAGGGAGTGTTAGATGGAAGAAACAAACATGGTGATACGTTTACACAGTGATAGATGGCTGTACAGGTTGTATGTACAAATCACCCAGGGGATTTCAGGGATTTGCAAGTGTAACTTTGTCTACATGTGATTTCTCCTTGCCCATTGATTACAGAGACTACCTCCTGCACAAGACATGGCTCCACTAAATCCGTAAAGCACATCTGTGTGGCTTGGAGTCCTGGCTGAACCTGGCTAAGTGCACAGTGAAACCAGTCGTCACAATGTCATGATCTGGGGGTTTCTGATGGCCTCTTGATGTTCCTTCCCCACATCCCACCAGGTATGAGTCCAACCAGGTACGAGCACTTGGGAACAACACACCATGTGTAAACACCATGATGTTTGCTCCTTGAGAAATGTTTTATTGTGAGACTTAGTAGTTACTAAACAAATACTGTTTTTCAATCAGCTGGCTCTGGCCCACTCAAGTCTCCAAGGCTTTAAGTCACTATCTTCCTGGAAGGCAAAACTCAAGGCTATGCCTTCTCCCTTTCAGGTCACCATCCAGTCCCTTGGTTGACCAGAAGACACAAGTATGACTTTATCTCTTGGGTATTGCATCACCAGGGAGTGATTTAGTTACCAGGGAGATCAGACTCTGCTCAGCAAACGCTGGTGAGACTAAGAGTGTGGGCTTTGGGTTTTGGTCCCAGATCTTCTGTTTACATCTAGGCGTCCTACAGTTGCTTTATCTAGGACTGGGTTATTGTGAAGATTTGGTGACATACTGTGTGTAAACTGGAGGCATGAAAGTATGAGAAAATTAAAGTATCTTTTTATTATTTTATAAAGATTGAATGAACTCTTTAAAATATCTTTATGGAAGAAACTCCTTATTGATAAATGACATCTCTCTCAGGTCACAATGAGTCGGACACCTTATTTATATCCAGTCCTGAAAACAAAACAGACAAACGAAAAAAACCTAGGGGACTTCCCTGGTGGTCCAGTGGTTAAGAATCCGCCTTCCAATGCAGGGGACATGGGTTCGATCCCTGGTCTGGGAACTAAGATCCCACATGCTGTGGGGCAACTAAGCCTGTGCGCCACAACTACTGAGCCTGCACGCCACAACTAGAGAGAAGCCCACATGCGGCAACGAAGAGCCTGCGCACTGCAATGAAAGTGCCCGCCTGCCACAACTAAGACCCGATGCAGCCAAAAATATATATAAATAAATAAATATTTTTTAAAGGAAACCTAAAGTGTTTTAATTGGTCTTCTATTAGTTTGTGCACTCAAAGGCAGGGTCGAGATCATCAGCATTTTCTGGTCACTCACAATTACCAAGAATTAGAAGCGATCTTGCAGATCATCTGATTCAAACCTCCCATTTGATAGACGAGAAGTCTTGCTAAGGGAGTCTTGAGGGTTAATGCCTGAGTGGGGCTCAGTCCCCAGGAATAGTTGTAATAATAAGGAACATTTATTAAATCCTTACAGTGTGCCAGGCACCATGCTAAGCTTTTTCCATGCATTATCTCATTTATCTTTTTTTTTCCAACTGTGAGATGGACTCCATTATTAGAAGCCTCACTTACAGATGAGGAAAATGAGACTTAAAAGAGGATGATGTTGTTCTCCAAATCACCGAGGAACAATGGGTGGAGGACCTAACCCCAGAGCCTGCAATTTTATCCTCCTCACAGAACAGCCTTCAAGTCTCAGCTGGCAATTTTTCTCTGTGCTTCACTTAGAAGATATAATATATACATTAATGAAATAGTTTCTGGTTCTATAAATTTTCCTGCACATTCGTTAAAAACCAGGTAATGACCCAGAGGAAGCATTTCTGAAAGTACTAACCATTCAAGGTTTTCTTGCGGTGCACATCAAGAAGGTGAAAATACTCCACCAAAGCCTTCACATTTCTCACGGATAATAAGCAATATAGTTTATCCAGATAGAGGTACCACAGAAACGATCCTTGCTTCAGTTTCATTATGGTGCCCTTTAAGCCAAAGACTCTGGCAACCTGCAGTAGAAGAGAGAATTCTGCCTCAGAATTAGAATGTTGGATAGAGAGAAGCTCTGGTAATAAAGGTCTTCCTACGTCAAAGCATCATAGGAAACGGTCAATAAAAAAATTAAAATTGTGGGAATTCCCTGGTGGTCCAGTGGTTAGGACTCAGTGCTTTCACTGCCGTGGCCCGGGTTCAAGCCCTGGTTGGGGAAATAAGATCCCACAAGCCACTCGGAGCAGCCAAAAAAAAAATGGTTGAGAATTTTCCAAAACCAATGAAAGACACCCACCCACAGACTGTGCTCATCATCATTATCAAGGTGAACAGTTACATAACTACATGTTACATAGTAACATGTTACACTGTTGTAAGTGTATTAATATATTAACTCATTTAGTCCAAAGATTAATCATACAATCCTATGAGGTAGAGATTATTATACCTATTTTACAGATTAAGAAACAGGCTCAAGTTACAATCTATTACGTATAAAATAGATAAACAACAAGGATATACTGTACAGCAAATATAGCCAATATATATGTTTTTTGGCCATACCCCATTGCACGAGGGATCTTAGTTCCTGGACCAGGAATTGAACCCGCACCGTTGGCAGTGAAAGCGCAAAGTCCTAACCATGGGACCGCCAGGGAATTCCCTAGCCAGTATTTTATAATGACTATAAATAGATTATAACCTTTAAAAATTGTGAACCACTATGTTGTACGCCTGTAACTTGTATAATATTGTACATGAATTGTATCAATAAAAAGTTTTTTAAAAAGGCTCAGAAAAGTTAAGTAATTTTCCTAAAGTCACTAAGCTAATTAATAGTGAAGTCAGCATGTGAACCTAGTCTGGCAATAATCACTGCTTTTTAATAGCTATGCTATATTCCTTCTCAAAAGACTGAAGTCCTAAGTAGTTGAGATAAGAAGAAATACATATATGTACACATCAGAGTGAAACTGCATTATACCAAAGACAAAGATTTTAAAGGCAATCAGAGAAGAAAGATTATCTTCAAAGGACTAATGATTAAACTTAACATCAACTTCTTCACAACATGGAAACCAAAACATAATGTAGTACTATTTCAATGTGTAAAAACAATCATAGCCAAGCTAAAATTATACACTCAGTAAAATCATCTTTCAAGACTGAAGGGAAGTTAAACATGAGATTACCATATAACCTAGCATTTCCACTCCTAGATATATATCCAAAAGAAATGAAAACAAGTATTCAGATACTTGTACAAAATGTTTATAGCAGCACTATTCACAATAGGCAAAAGGTGGAAACAGCCCAAATGTCCATCAACTGATGAATGGACAAATGAAATGGTAGCACATCCATACAGTGAAATACTTAGCCATGAAAGAGAATGATACATGTTACAATGTAGATGAACCTTAGAGTAAGTGAAAGAAGCCAGGCACAGAAAGTCACATATTGTATGAGTCCATTTATATTAAATATCCAGAAGAGGCAAAGCCATGGAGACTGAAAGCAGATCAGTCGTTGCCAGGGGCTGGGGGCCGGGGGAGTGGGTGATGGGAAGTGACTGCTTACTGGATCCAAAGATTCCCACTGGGGCGATGAAAATGTTTCAAACTGGACAGAGGTGATGGTTGAACAACACTGTCGATGTACTAAATGCCACTGAATTGTACACTTTAAAATAGGTAATTTTATATTATGTGAGTTCCACCTTCATTTAAAAGAATGAGGAGGAAAATCAAACCTGAATTTGATCAATTTATAGAAAATATAAATCGGGGAAACAGGACAGCAGAGGTCCATGTTAAATGACACTGCGGGGACACAATCAACAAAACCCAGACTGGACAGCTCTAAAAGAAAATGACTCCACTTCTTCAATAAACATTTACAAGAAAAGAAAAAGAGATGGAAGAGGGATCTATAAATTAATAGTTAAATTTCTTTCAAATCACATCAACCAATTACAGTGTATGGACTTATGAGGATCCTAATTCATAGAGATTATATATGTAAAAACCCACAAAAACAAACAACAAAAGCATGAGATGATGGAGAACTATGAACACTGATTGGATGTAATATTAGGAATGACAGTGGATGTGGTGGTGGTTTAAAAAGATAAAATGGTAAGATGCCTGGAATTTGCTTCAAAATAATCCAGGCCCGTGGGTGTTGGTATACATATAACAGGATTGTTCAAACATGAACTGACTGATGGGTGTACAGGAGTACTAGCTTATACTATTCTTTCTACTTTGAATATGTTTGAAATTTTCTATAGTGAAAAACAAAATTAGGATGAGATAAAGCTGTATTCAGGCAAAAACAAACAACCAACCAAACTAAAAGTGATCACCAACGGACCCTCCCAAAAGAAATTCTAAAGGATCAACTACGGTAGTCAGAGAATGATCACAGAGAGAAAATCCAAGATATCAGAAGGAATAGAGAGCAACAAAGTAGTAAAAATACGTGGGTCAGTGCAAGTAAACAACCATGGGGTAAAATAATAACAATGTCATAGGGAGTTTAAAATGATAAAATTTAAATGCAATACAATTATGACAGAAGGAGGGAGCTAACAAAATAAATCCATGCACACAAAAACAGAAAATTAACAGCTATAAGTGAATTCTTCAGGCACAGAAAAATAATTCCGTATGGAAACACAGAAATTCAGGAAGGGATGAAGAGTATCAGAAATTGAAAATATGTGAGTAAATCTAAATGGATCTTGACTGTATAAAACACTAAAAATAATGTCACATGAAGAAGCCAGCTGTGGTGCCCTCAGAACTCACCAGGAGCTACGTAGGGAAAGATCTATTGCTGCTAGGGGAAGGGAGAAAAAAATGGTGTAATATTTAACTGCATTTTCCCAGCGTATTAGGGTGAGTACTGCTACCTACTGTAACAAACAATTCCCAAAATGTCAGAACTCTCTTTTCCAATGCCATAGTAGCAGTAACATTCAAGATGATGGTGTTCTGAGGGTGCCACGGTGTACACAGAGTAGAAATACAATGTAGTACACGTGAAACTTATTTAATGTTATAAACCAACGTCACACCAATAAAAAATAAATTTAAAAAATAGATGATGGTTCCCTATCAGTCTTGAGTTCCTCAGTGACTACACGAAAAGACAGAGGATCTTTCCATGTCCTGGGGGTGAGCACTGTGGATTTTATCTGGGCCTTGAGAGTGAGGGGTTCCTCTCTCCCAGCAGCAGAAAGCTGTTGCTTTGAAGAATTTTGCTTTTGCTACTTCTGAGGAAGTAGATGAGACCTTATACTCAGCCCCTGGCAGGCACCAACCACCTCCTTCACTCCTGCATCAGCAAGAACTGACAGTCTCCAGTCTGCTGCCCTGCCCCCAGTTTTTCTTACAGGCTCCCATTGGCGACCCATGGGAAGGAGTTTGCCAGTGTGTGTGATTGCCCCTTGTGTCTGGGAACTCCAGCTATTCCACACTGACGTGGTATCCCAAACTTTGCCTCTAATCGTCTGCTCAAACTTTGGTTAAAGCTTTCTTCACCACTTGTACGGTGGCTGCCATTTTCAGCCATGTTCTGCCAAAGGTCCAATGGTTGGTGTGCCCTCTCTCTCCTTGCAGGGGCTTGTTCTTTGTGAGAATTCACTTTCCTTGGTTGCCTTGTGACCTCAGTTCTTTGATATGCTCAAGAAAAGTTATAGTTTTGTAGATCATCCATCTTTTTTTCTCACTAAGACAGATGCTACATTCTTTGTAGCTTTCTATACAGTAAGAAACCATCTTTGTTGTGTTAAGCTACCAAGACGTTGAGGGTTTTATTGCAGCATAACAGCCTGTTCAAATGGATACAGTGGTTTTTATCTGCATTTCCCCGATGACTAATGAAGTTGAGCATGTTTACATGTGCATGTTTGCCATCTGTATTTTGTTTCAAGACAGAGGCACAGATGTTGATGTAAGGATAGACATTTCCTGTCTTACATCTAGAAAGACTTCTCCAAGGAGCCATAGTATCATTTTATGGAAAATTGTATTTGGAGACCACAGTCTAGGCTCTGCTTAGCTTTTCTGGTCTGTGAGCCTATTGGCTTTCTGTTTGGTCTCGTGACCTCCTTCCCTAAGCTCTGCAGTTTAGGATTTGGCAGATGTCTTGAGGGCAAAAGCCTAGAGTAAGATACCACTAGTAGTCACTGGAATGGCTAGAGTTTTTAAAAACTGATGATATCAGTGTGATTGGAGCAACATCACTTGTGGGAACGTAAAGTGATAGAACCACTTTGTAAAATACTTGGACAGCCTCTTAAAAAGTTAACCATATACTTAGCGTATGATCCGGCAATTGCACTCCTAGGTGCATCTAGGAAAATGAAAATATATATCCATACAAAGCCTTGTAAACAAATGTTCGTAGTAGCTTTATTCATGATAACAAGACTGGCAACTCAAATGTCCATCAGCAGCTAAATGGATAAACAAATTGTGGTATATCCATACACTACTCAGCAATTAGAAAGAACCACAAATACATAAAACAACATGATGAATCTCAAAAATATGCTGAGTGAAAAGAAGCCAGGCTTAAAAGAGCACTACTGTATGATTCCATTTATATGGTTAACTAGGAAAGATATTTCCAATATATGGTGACAGAAAACAGATTAGTGGTTGCCTGGGGTGAGGCGTGTCAATGGGGACTGACTTATGAAGAAGCATACCTTGGAAACGTTACTTAGCCTCTCTAGAGGGAGATAAAATATTTGCTTTCCAGGAATGCAAGAATGTTTCAATAAATGAAATTTACCATGTCTATAGGCTAGATGAGAAAACTCATATGATTAATCATATGATAAATGCAGAAGAAACATTTGATAAAGTTCTACAGCTATGAGAAAAACTTATTAGCAAATTAGGTATAGCAGGGAACTTTGTGTGAAGGTCTTTTGCCACAATCTTTGGTAAACATCATACTTAAAGGAGAAACTTTAAACCCTTTTCCATCAAATATTGGACCAAGACAAGAATTCCTATTTTCACGGTTACTGTTTAACATAAAGCTAAAGATTCTAGCAAATGCTATAGGAAAGTAGAAGAAATAAGAAGTGTAAAGGGGCTTCCCTGGTAGCACAGTGGTTGAGAGTCTGCCTGCCGATGCAGGGGACATGGGTTCGTGCCCCGGTCCGGAATGATCCCACATGCCACGGAGCGGCTGGGCCCGTGAGCCATGGCCACTGAGCCTGCGCGTCCAGAGCCTGTGCTCCGCAATGGGAGAGGCTGCAACAGTGAGGGGCCCGCGTACCACAAAAAAAAAAAAAAAGTGTAAGGATTGTTACAGCAGAAGCTGTACAAAGACCCGTGACATTTCTCAACTTAGCGGTGTCCTCTTGGCCCTCTAGCAGGGCAGGCTAGAAGTGCTGCCCTAGGGAGCAGCCCTTGGCCAAGGACAGATGAGGTTTAGAGGAAAATTCCCCAGTGTCCTTGACTGTCAGATAGGCTGAGTCTGAAGTGTGTTGCATCATCCTGATCCCCAGAATCCCCCAGTGGGATTAAGCCCCAGTTGGCTACAGCAGTAATCATCTACAAAGTACACCCTTTACTGGCTTCAAGTGTCTCCTGTCTTAGCTTCCCACTCCCTACTGGTGCCTCCTGGCATCACCTCCCAAATAAACTATTTGCATTCAGATTCTTATCTTTGGGGAAATCTAGCCTAAGAATACAGTCAAATGCTTTTTCTGTGACTATCAAGAGTATGCGATTTTCTTCTTTACTTTGTCAATCCAGTGTCTTACTTTAATGGTTTTTATTCCTAGATAGAACCATTCTTTTATTTCTGGATAAACCTTTCTTAGTCATGATGTTTTTATTAGCCTCTGGTTTCATCTTGCTCGTATTCCCCCCCCCACACACATCTATTTCCTAAGTGAAATTAGTCTACAATTTTCTTTTACTATTCCTACCTAATTGTAGTAAAGCTCATCTCATAAAAATGAGTATATTTCCTTTTTTTCTATCTTCTTAAATTATTTATATGGAGAGAGAGATTATTTGTAAAACCACATAACCTGATGTCTTTCAGTGGGGGCAGACTTTAGATTTTTGATTCATTTCTTTATTGGTTATTAGCTTATTTAGGCTTTTTATTTCTTATTGAAATTATGTGTCTTTTATATATCATATCTCATATATTTATATATCATTTGTTTATATCATTTATATTTTCTTCTACATGATTACCCATTTCACATAAATTAAAATGTATTCACATAAAATTGTTTAAAATACTGATATCAAAATCTCTACTGTACCTAATATTCTGTCACTTTTTTCATTTTCTTGGGGAATATTTTTCTTCCTGCAACTCTTTTTTTTATCTTTTTGACCAGCCTTGTCTGTTAGTTATCTCAGAGATATAGCTTTGGTTTTGTTGAACCTCTCTGATTTCTTACAACTGTACTTAAGTATAATTTACATATCATAAGATTCAGCCATTTCAAGTATACAATTTAGTGATTTTAGTAAACTTGCCAAGTTATTATATCATCACCATAATCCAGTTTTAGAACATTTTCATCACCCCAATAAGACTCCTCATGTCCATTTCAGCCTAGTCCTTGGCAACCATTAATCTGCTTTCTGTCCCTATGGATTTGCCTTTTCTAGACATTGCATACAAATGGAATCATATAACGTGTGCTGTTGTGTGTCTGGCTTCTTTCACTTACAACATTTTTGAGTGAAGCTCTCCATTTTTGTTTCTCATTTCATTTTTTCTGGAGCTATCGCAGAGCCAGTCTCACAGAGTCGTGTGTGGCTTGGCCCGGCTTGGGGATGAACTGGGACTCGGACTCCCAGTCCCAGCCCCTCTAGACTGACCTGTGGTCAGAGCCCCCACCTCCCAGTGGGAAAGCCTCCCCCATTGTCCCCTCACCCCCTTCACAATGTTGGTCAAATGGACTGAAACTAATGAAAGACCGGCCTTCCAGCTTGTTCTGGGAGGTTTAAACTTGGGCTTACTTGGTGAGAGCCCAGTCTTGTGCTGCATTTCCTCCTTTTAGTGATAAAGACCCTCTACGATTGCAACCACTCATTAGGTTGTGGGGACATTTCAAAGTGCTTGGCAACCTTTACTCAGGGCATCCTTTGTGCAGACCACCACCAGTACCCTAGGCTTCTGCATTTGGCTTTCCAAATTTAGAACTATACTTGGTGTTTGCATGCGACTCAGGAAGGGGTCAACACCTCAACATGGACCTTCTCCGCAGGGACGTGGTCTATTGGAGTGTGACATTCCCCGAGACTCAATTTGCTTATGTGGGAGAGTTACCATAATAAGCTTTACAGGTTGCCCACCTGCCCACCCCTCAGCACTCGCTGCTTGGAACCTACTTAGATACGTGTTAACTGTCCTAGAGACAGTTAACAGTAGCAGGTGGAAAACGGACAGGATCGAGGATGATGGTGGTCAAAGAAAACTTCAATTCTATGTATAATGAGCTTATTTTTAAAATTTGTAAAATTAAGAATAAGGAAGTTTTTTACCTAATATGCAGATATATCTGAAGATCCATCAGGAAGCATGTGATAAGTAAGTCCCCACGGAGCGCTCTCTCTTAGCCCTGTAATCCTGGCCGGTTGGTGGATCTCGGTGGGGCAGAGCCCCTGGGAAGCAGGAAGCGAGCCGGGGAGCCTGGGTTTTCAGGGACTGACCGCCGCCGCAAGGGCGCAGCATTTCCCGCGCTAGGAGGCAGCACCACGCCGAGCAATCCGCACCGGATCCGCCCGCAGGATGTGCAGCCCGGGGCTAGTGCCCTCGCCCGCCGGGCGCCCCCACCTGAAAAGTGGGCGCCAGCAGAGCAGCCGCGCGGGGCCGTTACGGGGCGGATTCAATGATTAATGCCGGTTCGCCTTTTTGGTCTTTGGACAGCAATCAGTGGGCGCTCCCGAATAACCAGTCTGCTTCCCCTTTCGCTCCCGCAGAAATTTTGGGAGCCACGAGACACGGTGGGCCTCCCAGACCCGGTATGGTCCCGCCGAAGGGTCCACTAAGCTCGCCAAAGCCTAGTCCGTGGCTCGCGGGCGTGCGGCGCGCGGGGGACTACAGTTTCCAGAGTGCCCTGCGGCGACGGGCGGAGCCGGGGAGCGCCCGCAGCCAATTAGGGGGTCTCCGGGCGCTGCCGGGGAGCGGCAGGTGGAGTCGGGCCGATGGGCGGGAGCGGGGCCGGGTCCCCGGAACGCGTCCCGGGGCTTGCGGGCTGGGCGGGGGCGCGGCGCGAATTGGGTCTACATTGGGAAGCGGCCCGGAGATTGGACCGAGCGGGGGCGGGGACCGCGGCCGCCTGCGCGGTTCCGGGTGCTCCCGCCGCGCGCAGCCCAGGGCGCACTTGACCGGGGTCTGGCTGCGGGGAAGGGCGGGTCTGGGGAGAACCCCAGAGCGCCGCGGCGTCCTCCAGCCCCTCCCTCGCGGCCGCCGGAGCTACAGCCCGAGCCGGAGCCGGCTCCACCTCGCCCGCCGGCTCGCGTGCCCTCAGCCATGGCTTTCGCCAATTTCCGCCGCATCCTGCGCCGGTCTACCTTCGAGAAGAGAAAGTCCCGCGAATATGAGCACGTCCGCCGGGACCTGGACCCCAACGAGGTGTGGGAGATCGTGGGCGAGCTGGGCGATGGTGCCTTCGGCAAGGTTTACAAGGTGAGGGCGCTGTGTTGGTGGTGCGTGGCTCGGGGCGCGTGGAGCGGCTCCGGAAGGAAGGGGCGCTGGCCCTGGTCAGTCTCGGCCACGGCTCGGGAGAACGCAGAGGGCTGCCCGGCCCTGAACTCAGAGTCCCGGGGTCCTGTCCTGGTGATCCTTGTTCTTCGTTGGGGTCGGGGGTGGGGTATCCTCACACAGCCCGGCTGAGTCCCAGCGTGCCGGACGCCCCCTCCGGGCACGGCTGCTGCCCCGAGCTAAGTTTCTGAGCACTTCCTGTGCGCCCTGCACGGCTCTCGGCGCCGCAGGGGGAGACAAAGGGGGCGCTTAAAGGACTTTAGCATCCGAGACGAGGCATCCGCGGTAAAACTGATACTAGGCATACTTTTTAAGGGAGGCCACTCAGGTTCTGTGAGAGTGCCGAGGCGCTGGGGGCAGAGAAACTCGGCTGCGTCTGGAAGGGTTGAGTTCGGTGAAGTTGGGGACACACCTGAAGACGAGCCAGAGACGGGAGAGACAGGAGGTGGAGGGGGGTGTTGTCTAGAGTGAGAGGTTAGGCATGGAAATGTGGGCTGGGGCTGGGCAGAGGGGAAAAGTCTAGGGCCTCGTGAATCCTGCGCTTCGGGTCAGATTTGAGTATGTGGATGAGTCACAGCTGGGGAGTCTTCCAGTCTGCAGTCACCTTTCCCTAGAAGAATGAAAGGCCAGAGAGCTTTTGTGGAGGGGTGGGTGGGGCAGAGCTGATTATTTGTAGACACGTTTGCAGCAGGTCATTGTCTGGTTTCTGGTCCTGAGAACACATTCTGAGTTGCTCAGTCGTATTGGGGACCCAAACACTTAGAGCTTGACTCCACGCTTTCCCTGATCTCCTTTCCCCCAGGAAACTCTTTACTGAGAGAAACCCACATGTTAAGCTGGTGGTTTCTACAGGAGGGCACCTCCTTCCTAAGCCACCATCACCTTCTTTGGGGCTCCTATAGCTTGTAGATCACTCTGACCCCAGGGTTTCCCTTTTAGGAGCCTGGACCACAGAGAGAGCTTCTCTAGGCCACCCCTGGTCAAGACTTGCTCTCTTTGCCTTGAAAGTGGTGGAGAGCCTAATCACCAAAGTGTAGTTCCTGGAGGAGTACCACCAGCATCACCTGGGAGCTCGTTAGAAATGCGGAATCTCGGGCCCCACCCTAGACCTAATAAATAATAAAGAAGGGTCTGCATTTCAACAGATGCCCAGATCCCCCTGATTAGAATCCCCCATGTTACGTGCGCTTTAAGTTTGAGAAACATTGCTCTAGGGGCAATTTTGAAGTCACCCAGGCCCCTCAGGGTGCCTGTTTTGTTCCCTTACCACCTCCCCACGGAGCCAGCACTTCCTTTTACAGGGTGAAAGCCCCACTGGAGCAAAGGTTCTGTGGTTGGAAGGCTGGCCTCTGTGACACTCATACCTGTGGCTCTCAGCTGCCTTGATTTGCTGCCTTTCTCTGCCTGAGGGTTCTGCACGTATTCCAGGGCTCTCAGCACATACTTCACTCGCACATCTTTTCTTGCCCTTTCTCAGAGCTGCCTCTCCCTCCTAGCGGCACCAGGAAACTGTCCTCAGTCTTGCGGCCCCGCCAGACACCCCACCGGTGTACTTGCCTTCCCCTGATGGAGCCTGCTCTGCCAGGTGTGCTCTGACCACCGTAAGAACAGCTGGACCCTTGGTCAGCTCACCACATCCCCCGCTTTCTCCAGAAGGTTAAGTTGGTGTTTTTAGTGCATGATGTTGTTCTGTTAGAGGCTGACTTTCCATTGCAGTCTTGTCCCTGTCCCCTAATGAATCCTGGCTTCATAAGGTTCATTTTCTTTCAAACCTAAATGCAGAACTTTGCTTCTAGGCTGGTAAGATTTCCCCTTGTCAGTTTCGACTGTCATTTCCTCCTGCTTTAGCCCCACAAAACTCCCTTACAGCTCTGAAAGTTTCATACAAAGGAGCCCATCTGATTCACAGGTTATTTTGTCTCCTCCTGGTTCTCCAGAGCACGTGAACCCTGTTAAAAGTGAGTCTAGTGCTCAAAGCTGTGAGCCGGCTGCACCACAAGCCCCTCCCCACCACCTCCGAACCCATGATTTTCTCATAATTAAGACAAGGGGAAGGTAGATCAGGAGAGCTGTGTGATGGCTGACACACCTGGACATTTATTAGGTTCCCTGCCTGGCCTTGGTGTGTGACCCTCTGATCTAACCCAACCCCATGTTACACGCAGGAATACGGGGGCTCAGGGAAAGGAAGGGACTAGAACCCAAGGCTCTGGGCTTAGTTACCAGCTAAGGAAGACCCGTCTTGGATCAGAGATCCCTGTGACCTCATCTCCTACCCTGAAGAAGTGCTGCTTAGTCAGGCCCTTAGAGTTGAAGTTGAAGCAGGTGTTGCTTTACTAAAGATTCTAATCAGGGACCATAACTCCTTCCCACTTCTTTGTTCCCCGGCATGGCCATTTCAGCAGCACAGGCCAGAGGTTCCATCTAGGTTTTATGTCTGGGACCAGAACTTGCATTTTGACGTGGCACCTTGGTAACCAGTTGGCTGCGAGCTGGTGAAGTGATGGCCAGCAGCACCTCCTCTCCCTGTCCTAGAACTAGCAGATTTTTCTCCTGGCAGCCTAGGTGGTGAAGGCCTTTCTGAGGATTTCGCTGGTGTAAGAAGCCGTAGGAATCCCAATTTGTCAAAGGCTTGTCAGAAGAGGACTCCAATTACAGATGTCCTGAGGAGTGTCTTGCAGAGGCCCAAAGCCTAATGTCTTGAGACATTAGTGTCTCACGATGTGGAGCCTCTTTTTCCTTCTTCTCCCTGATAAATCATCAGTTGATCTCGGGAGAAAAAGAGGCGCGTAGGATTGATTTTTTGCACAGTCAAGTTCATGCTCACCTACTCCTTAAGCGATTTCAAAAGAAAATCATTTCTCGTTCATTACTAGATACAAAGTAAAAGTCACAAGCTATGTAGTTTCAAAATTCTTGCCCTTAATAATAATCTTTACTCTAAAGACAAGATGGAGGGTTGAATGGAAGAAACTGCTTTCAGCAGGGTGTGCCCGCTGTCCTAGCTGTGGGTGAAACAGGTACTTATGTGGTGAACAGAGACAGGGAGCATGGGGGCATGAAGAGTTGGGTTAACAGGCTGAGATGATTTTTCTGCTTCTTGAAAATTGCTTTAGTTGTCGTCTTATGTTGTCTTTAAGCTTTTAAAAGGTTTATGATTTTGCAAAATTAGGTGTATAGTACAAATTTGTTTTTAATTAAAAAGAAAAACATTACCTTAAGTCCCATCAGTTGCTGTTGACATTTTGATATATTTCCTTCCAGACTTATCGATTTTTATGGAGAAAAAAATTTTTTTAATGCAGGGTTGTAATAATACACACCTACAGTGTTTTATGTTATCTTTCATTCCTAAAGCCTCTTCCTGTGTTATTCTAAATGCTTCACACATACCTTCTGGGATGGCTCAGTGCCCCCATGATTTTAATCTTATTGGATATTTAAGTAATTTGTACCCCCCCATTTTCTTTTTACTATTAAGTTAAAATTTTTTTTTTATAAATTTATTTATTTTTGGCTGCACTGCGTCTTCGTTGCTGCACATAGGCTTTTCTCTAGTTGCAAGTGGGGGCTACTCTTCGTTGTGGTGCGTGGGCTTATCGCTGTGGCTTCTCGTTGCAAAGCACGGGCTCTAGGCACACAGGCTTCAGTAGTCGTGGCACGCGGGCTCAGTAGTTGTGGCTCACGGGCTCTGGAGCGCAGGCTCAGCAGTTGTGGCACACGGGCTTAGTTGCTCCGCAGCATGTGGGATCTTCCCAGGCCAGGGCTCGACCCAGTGTCCCCTGCATTGGCAGGCGGATTCTTAACCACTGCGCCACCAGGGAAGCCCTTGAGGGTGGTTTTTAAAGGAAAATGAGATAAGTTAATAGAGGCCCC